CCTACTGTTTGGAAATATTCTGCAGCCACTTCAAAAGCCTAGGTGCATTGATAGAGTATGCCATTAGGATAGCATTAAATTTCTCTGAGACTATCAGAAATGTGCAAAATTAGTACCTGCAGTCAGAAGGATGCATGCGCAGTGTGGCAAAGCACAGGAACTGCTGGAAGGTCTGTACCTCTATCACAGCCGACAGTGTGTTTATCAGGACACCACACAATGTCCCTTGTTGGAGTTCTGTACCGTCATTTCTGGATAGCTGTGCCTAGCATCAGCGTGAAACCGCTAAGCGTCAGATGATTCTAGTGAGCTCAACATGTTGGCTGCATATTATCATGAAAAACGGGTGAGGGAGGAGGGTGCTTCCTGCCGATTGCACAACACAAGCGAATGAAAAATCCCTTCCCTCTGCAACTGAATGTGAACTCACTTCTTTCCACTTTTTTATTTTATTTTATTTTAAGGTTTTCTATGCTGTCCCATTACTAAAAGTCTCTGGATGGCTTACAAAGAACAAAAAAGCCATAACAACAACAACACACGACACACTGCATCCAGTAAATAATGATAAAAACAAGGATAAAACCAATTAACTGTAAGTATATTGGGAAAATAAAAAGGTCTTCACCTGATGCCAAAAAGGATAAAGCGACGGTCCCAGGTGACCTCCCTGGGAGCATGTTCCACAGTCGGGGTGCCACCACTGAAAAGGCCCTTCTTCGAGTAGCTACCTTCCTGATTTCCTTCAAAGAGGGTTCCTGGAGCAGGACCTCTGCCTCCGATCACAAGGGCCAGGCAGGGACACAGGGAAGAAGGCGCTCCTTCAAGTATCCCACACCCAGCTATTTAGGGCCTTATAGGTCATTACCAGGACCTTAAATTGGGCCTGGACTCCAATTGGCAGCCAGTGTAAGCGATATAGGACTGATGTGATATCGGAGTATCTGCTAGTCCCCATTAATAACCTGGCACCTCAATTCTGGCCCAATTTTCAAAGCTCCAAGTGAACAGAAACTCCCCAAGTGATCCTATGGCCCCACAACCATACCTAGAGGTCTGTAGGAACATTTATTCATTTATTTATTTAGCAGACTTATATGCCGCCCCATTCACCTAAGCCTCGGGGTGTCTTACAAATAAATAAATATCATTAATACAATCAAATACAGCTGGAGACATCCTGGCCAAGGTTGTTAAAATCAATAAATAAAATCAACAATTAAAATGATGTTTAAATAAAAAGGTCTTGGCCTGGCACCGAAAAGCAAATAACGACGGCGCCAGGTGGACCTCCCTGGGGAGCGCATTCCATAGACTGGGTGCCACCGCAGAGAAAGCCCTCCTCCGGCTGCTCACCCTCCTAATGTCCTTCACGGAGGGCTCCCAGAGGATGGCCTCTGCCACCAATCTCAAGAGGCGGGAGGGCACGTATGGACGTAAGCGCTCCTTCAGGTAGCCAGGACCCAAGCCGTTTAGGGCTTTATAGGTCATCGCCAACACCTTGAATTGGGCCCGGACTTCAATGGGAAGCCAGTGGAGCTGACGGAGGACTGGAGTCATGTGAGCACAACGCCCAGTCCCCGTCAGCAGCCTGGCAGCTCTGTTTTGCACCAGTTGAAGTATCCGGACCGTCTATATCCAGAACACAGAGATTCCCAGAGCTGAAAATCAGCTCCAAGGCTGGAGGTCTGCATTTAAGAGTTCTCTGCTCCTCTCCGCCCTGCAGCTGGCACGGAAAGAGCCATTGCTGAGCACAGGGCCATGCAAGCGATCTCAAAATGGGAACTTAGGGTGGGAAGACCGGCACTACCAAATTACCATGTATTCTACAGTTGTTGCTGCTTCCTTCCCTTCCCTTCTGAGGTGGAGTTAGACAGCCAAACTGGGTGCAGAGCAGCAGGAGAGCAGGGAAAACCTTTGTTTCCACGTTCTTCCTGCCCTACACAATTTTGATTTTTGTGGGTTTCATGCCACCTCGTTGGATGCAGCCTCTGAAAACTGCATTGCTTCTCAATTTGCAATGGAGAGCTGCAATGGATTTTTTTAAGGAACATACAAAAATTTATCTATTCAGAGGAAATGCTTAAAATGTATTATATTGGGAAAATGGCATGTAAAATGGTGAACAGTAAGCAAAATATATGCAAAACAGTTGTATCAGGAGAACAAAATGCACAAAAATTATTTCAATTTTTCAAGGGAACTTTAAAAAAATCCAGGAGTTTAGAAAGAGTCAGTCTTAACACTGGAAAAATTCTGAAAGTTCAAGATGAACTGAATCATGAGTGGAAACTTGAAGAACTATGAGAAACCAAAACAGAGAGATTTGACCATCCGTAATTTTAAGTCCATTAAGAAAGCATTAATAGAAGTCAATTCATCTCTACTTTGCAGGAAGTTTTGCTGATAAAGCCTAAATTGTTCAGGGTTTGCACTGGAGTGGCAAATGTCCACATTTCTCCCAGAAGACCCAGACAGTTCCAAAACTTATGAGGAAATGGTGATACAGAGAATGCAAAGAGTTTGGGAGAAAATATTAACTGTTTTTGTTCTCTTGAGAAAGGATGCTTGGTGAAATGAAATCAAAATTTCCCAGTGTGTTTTCAATCAGACCCTATCTTGTAGTCCTGATATAGAGGAAGACACTTCCATCAATGATACAACTGGCCAGAGTTGTCCATTAATTTGCACCCAGGGCTCATGTTTAACTGAAGCCTTGATATTTGACTAGCACTAATGACCAAGGCCTAGGTGGGTTGCTAGAAAGAAACATTAATTCACTACAGCCTAATGGAAACTGAAATTTTAAACTTTAAAAAAGAGAGAGAAATGGAAAAGAAGGAACATAGACAAAAACAGAACCTGCCTAGAGATAGTAAAATCCCTCTGTCCTTACAAAGATGGAGTTGCTTTCATGTGCTCTTGCAGGAGATAATTTGAGGATGTATTCACCTAAAGCAAAGCCCTTTAGATACCAACAACTGAACCAGTGGTGGGGGTTGTTGCTGAGTTGCAAAGTCGCACCCGATTCTTCACGACCCCATGGACAATATTCCTCCAGGCCTTCCTGTCCTCCACCATCCCCTGGAGTCCACACAAGCCCACACCCACCTCTCCAGTGACCCCAGCCAGCCACCTCAACTTCTGCCATCCCCTTCTCCTTTCGCCTTCAATCGTTCCCTGCATCAGGGTCTTCTCCAGTGAGTCCTTCCTTCTCATTCCATGGCCAAAGTCTTTGAGCTTCAGCTTTAGCACCTGACCTCCTAAAGAGCCATCAAGGGTTGATTTCATTTCGCATCGACTGCTCTGAACTCTGACTTAGTGGTAGCAAGCTCCAAACTATTCCAGAACGCAAAGAAAGGAAAGTTTAACCATGCTAAAAGGTGGCACATGTTCCCATAGCACCCCGTTTAATACAACTGTATGAGAGACAGGCATGGTCTCCTCTGTGTAGGAAAACCACAAAGGGAAAGAGGCAGAGGTGGATTTCCATAGAGGCTGCACCGTACGTGCAGGGCAGCAATGGCCTCCTTTGCTTCTGTCGTGAACAACATGTTTCTTTGAAGAGCGTGCGTTCTCTTTTGGGACCACTGCCAGCCGTTCCTCCCAAACACACTCCACACATACTACCTTCACAGGGACTGATCTTCCAGGAAGCCCACATCTACCGAAGAGGCTTTTGTGGGGGACATTTGCCAGGGGTGCGGCGGCCCAAGGATGAGCCGCGGCAGCTGCAAGCTTGGTTAACAAAGTACGACGCATCCTCTTTCGGCTTGCTCCCAAGTTCAGAAAGGTGCTGCTTCCTTGAGGCAAACAATATTTCGCCCTCCAAGCAAGAAGACTCATCTGGACTGACTTTAATGCTGGTTGATCCAGCAGGATCGGAATATTCTCATGCCATCTGTGGCGATGCAAAGGGCACCAGCAAAGCCAAATGGCGTTAAAACAAGCTGAATGTAGGCAAGGGTTACTTTTGCCTTTTCCACAAACATTGCAGAACCTTCTCCTTCAGCCTAATCTAACATCTTAAAGCCAGCTGAAAATGACTCACTGGATTATTTATATTTATGGCATGCTACAGCTTATGCCTCTTTACTGATGTTTACTCTTGTTTTGCTGATATCCCTTTATATTATGCCCGTTTTTTGTCATTCTCATTGTTGATGTTTCAATCTTGGCTGCCTCTTCTTCGCCACAATGTTGTTTCCTTGGGTTGAGGAAATTCATTTTCTAACCTTGGCTGAAATAACATGAAAGTAGCTGACTTTGAAAATATGTGCAAGCACAATAAAATATCATATTTTGGAGCCTATTAAAGCAATCCTGGGTAAAATGAGACACACTTTTAAAGGATCGAAAATAAAGGCTGGTAAGCAGCTGGAAGGACTCCTTTGAAAACATTCTCGCTTGCTTTTTGCACATGCTCAACAAGCGTTCCACTGAAGAACATAAGAAAAGCACCACTGGATCAGACCAACGGTCCATCTGTCCTGCACACCTGAAGGCAAACCAGCTGCCCACAGGATCCCTCCAGCAGGACGGGTGCAAGACCTCCTCCTGCACAAGCTCCTCAGCAGCTGGTGTGTGCAGGCAGGCCGCCTCTGGAGAAGGAGGTGGCAAATAGCCCGCAAGGCTAGTAGCCACGGAGAGCCTCCTCCTCCATGCATCTGCCCGACACCTTTTTAAAACCACCTCGACGGGGGGCGATCGCCACTTCTGGTGGCAGCAAGTTCCATACTTTAACTGTGTGAAGCCATCCTCCCTTCCATCTGTCCTAAACTTCCCACCAATCAGCTTCATGGGAGGACCACGAGAAAAAGGCCTCCCCCTCCACTTTCTGCATACCATGCATTATTCTGAACACCGCTCTCCTCCCTCTCCCTCCTCGCCCTTTCTCGAAGCCAAAGAGTCCCAGCTGTTGCGGCAGCTGCCCAGGCGATTCTGAGCTGCTCCAGCCCCGGGTCGTCTCCGCGGCCCTTCTCTGCCCTCGTTCCACTTACGTCAAACTCGTTCAGCGCTGCAGCGAGCTCCCCGATTCCCGTGTGCCCCTTGTTCTCATCCGTGGGCGACGTGGCCTGAGCAGCATTCGAGATGCCGGCGATGGCTTCTTGGACCTGCTTGAAGACGTAATCCCTGTTGGCCCTCGTGGCCGCTACATCGGGATGGCGGAGGAATGCCTGAGAAGCCGTGTACAGCATCGTGGCGTTCTTCTTCAGGGCCCCACGCGCGGCAGCCATTTCGTCCCTGCAGTGGGGGTCTTTTAGTTCCTGTTTCAAAACACACGTTCAAGAAGATGGATAAACGTGGCATAGAAATACAGAGCGAGTCGGAGGGGGCCTCCTGGGCCATCTAGTCTGACCCCGGCTCCAGCTGGCTCCGCTCACGACATGCCCACCGTGTGCATGTGTAGCCTGTCCTTGAACACCCTCGCCAATGGGGCCTCACCACCTCCCGTGGAAGCCCATCCCATACCTTAGGGGTTCTAACCGTCAGGAAATACTTCCTGGCATCCACCTTGAATCTTGGTTCCCTGAGCTTTGCTCCACTGGAATGCTCTTGCCCTCCACTGCAGGGGAAAAAGGTCATGCCCCACCTCTGCATGGCACCCCCTCATGTACCTGCATGTTGCTAACAGGTCCCCTCTGAGTCTCCCCCTCTCAAGGCTGAAAAGACCCAGCTCCCCCAGTCTCTCCTAAACCCATTCCCTTGGGGAAAATCTAAGACAACTTGCCTAACGTAAGTGCATCCTCCTCTGGAAAATGCACCATGAGATGCTCTCATTATATTTCCACAACCATTCCAGGGGGTGGAGTGGGCCGAGGGAGGGCGAGCTGCCAACGATCTCTCAGCAGGTCTGACAGCTGAATCCAAGGCCGGAGTCAGGAAAGGTTGATGGCCATCTTAGCACTAAGGTGTGTCTATGCAGCTTCAGGGGTGAGGGCGGGAGGCAAATGGGAGGAATTCAGGATTATGAAGTTTCGCAAGGGGCGAACTTAGTGAGTGTGGGAACAAGGAGGGCTAATATGAATTTGACAATGGGAATTGTGATAACATGGCATATATTTGCAGCAAACTGCAATCCAATTGCATTTCTGGAAGGAAAGGTATAAGGTCTGGAACATGGAGTGGCTGCACTCCAAGCTGATTATAAAAAAAGAGTTCTTGAAATGAACCCAGGAGGAGTTGGAAGGACAACTAAAGGGGCACTCAGAAAGGGGGGCAGAATGAATGACAGGAGATGCAATTTGCATCGATGACAGTGACACGCAGAAAAACGACATTCCAAAGATGCTCTGCACTACTGGAACCACACAAATGCAGGAGGAAAACTCGGATAGCCACCGTGTAGAGGAACAAGCTCTTTGAACTGGGGCCTCCAGAATCCCTGCCCTACAAGATGTGAACATAAACAGCTTATCAATGGATGAACCAAGGCTAAAATTTGGATGAAGATGCCCTAAGCACATGCCATAACTCTAAGTGGAACGAGAAAGGCAAACAGCAATGAGGCTGAAACAAGGAGACTGATTTAACTGGGCATTCATCCAAAGCCTTAAGCAATATTCACCAACAAATACTGTCTGGAAAGAATGCCTCACCTAGTTTGACTCTCCAGTGGCTCTCTGGAACAATGACAACATTGTCTCAAACCCATTTCATCATGACTTGTGAATCACACTTTTTCTTCACCATTAGGAGAAAGAGTGAACGGTCAAGTCGGCTTTTTAAACCATCCTGATATTAAATTCAATCATGTGGCCTAATTTCCAGGAAAGAAAGTTCTTCCGCTATTCCTATCAATGCACTCCATGGCCAATTTGAGAAGACGCAATTTAAATTATTGGGGATCTTAAAAGGAGGCCAGTTAAAATGCTTCGATGCCTTATAAATAACACGGCTGCTTAACAAAGGAGAGAGCGAGAGACGCGGGTTCACAGGCTAGCCTCTTTTTAGCCCAGTTAGCAAATTTTAGCCTGGCTTGGTAGATCAGCTTCCATTGAAAACTTCTGGAGGGCAAACAGCAAAACAGCATTCCTGACAGTTTTGCTTTCACCATGGACCACACTGGATATAAGAAGATAGTCACAGACTATCATGGACTGGACATTTTCATTTTCAGTTCATGTTAAAGAATGAATCCTTCTGCAGTTGGCACTGGAGTGGGACAAGGGCTCCCCACTGACCTTCTCCTGCCCCAGGTTTACCTGAATAGAGGACACAGCCCTGGCAGTGGCACCTGCCTTCACCCCTGACCTGTTTCCCCCATGCAGGACCCAGACACCTCTCTCCCAAGTCTTCCATCCCAGGGGAGATCATTGTAAATCCTATAGTCTGCCTGGCAAGCAAATGGGAATGCAGTGTGATTGCTGAATTTGGAGCTCAGCTCACGAAAGTCTCTGGGAAAACAGCCCCAGTGACTGAGCTCAGTTCTGAACCAAGAGGTGGGGAATTCCTCCATTGATTTGTTGACTTTCTCTGGTTTGTGCTGCTTTTAGCGTTCCTCTGCAGAGATGCCAGAGGCTGCAGTGGGACAGGGTAAGATCAGAAGGGGTGGAATGCAGGAGAAGCCCTGTGTGGTGCTCTTTGCTCGCATCCACGCAGGCCCCGGGAACTTTTAAGAGGAGGACTTACATTAGCGCACATTATGGCAAATCAGTCCTGTCTCTCTCTCCCCCCACTCCTGCGTATTCCCACCTTGCTCACCTGTTGCCTTCTAGCAGCTACATAGTTCAGTTTCACCATCTCTTTGCCAAATTCTTTGAAACGGTTCGCAAGGTCTTGCTCGTTCGTGGCATTCTTCACGGCTTCTAATGCTTCTTCTACCTACGACGGGGAAGGAAATGAGACAAATTAAAGCACATCTTTGTCAGCCGAGATGCAACTGTCCATTTATGACACAGTGCGGCCAGGATATTCTTGCCCACGACATACTTGGTGTGTTCCTCCATGTCCTCCATGCAACAAGCGCCCTGCAGAGTTTTTCTGGCTTCCATGTGGGTATCTTCTTCTTGAGGTCCATGTGCCACAAAGTCCATACCCAAAGGGACTTGCATTTAGGCTCACAGAACTCAACAAAAGTTCCCATTCTTGATTGCCATATGACAATTAGGGAAAGTGCTACACCGAGAAAGTGTTGTGTAGGACACATTTCAAGAAGAACGGAACTTGATGTTAGGTCCATGAGAAACAGTGGGAACCCTGAATGGGTAGATGTGTCCCCCCTGCATAAACTGTTTCCACTGAAGGCGGAGAAACAAGTACCAGGGGTGGGGGGCATAAAACTATTATATTTAGTTAGTTATTTAGTTATAACTTTTTTAGACCGTCCTGTCTTGGGACAGTTTAACAATAAGACAAAATAGAATAACACACAGTGTCCTAGTCAAATTCTTAACCAATCAACAATAAAACCTATATTAAAATAGTCAGACCTTAAAACATGGGGAAAATAAAAAGGTTTTAGCCTGGCAGTGAAAAGAATAAAGTGATGGTGGCAGGCGGACCTCTCTGGGGAGCATGTTCCACAGCCGGGGCGCCACCACTGAGAAGGCCCTTCTCCAGGTAGTCACCCTCCTAATCTTCTTCAAGGAGGGCCCCTGGAGAAGGGCCTCTGCCCCAGATCTTAAGGGATGGGCAGACACAGAAGGAAGGAGATGCTCCTTCAGGTCTTCGGGTAACTATGGCATATGTTGTATAATTGAACAGTTTCCAGCAAGAGGACAACACCACCACACCACAGGCTGGCTCAACTCAAAACGCAGCAGCTGTGAGAGGAAGATGCTTTTGAACCTTCCATTTGTAAAATGCCTGTTTCTGCTCTATTTCAAAACTATTCTTTTTCACAAATAACACAAATGCCACCCAGGCGAGAAAACATCCACCCATACCTGTTCAAGTCTGCTGTGCAAAGGGTAAGTAAAGATGGGCTTTAGACAACACTGGCATTGCAAACTCTAAACTGCCATGCAAGATTACTAGCTCAGGATGAAACACGGAAAATTGTGATCATAGCAATAATGAAAAGGCACACCAAGCATTCCATGCAGTCTGATCACTAATCATTCCTTCACATATCTGAAGGCAATCCAGTCGAATAAAATTTGGAAACCCCACCCTTCAGGTCTGGAAAACAAATATGTCCATTTGCTCTTTTGAGTCATAAATCTTGACAGAAAGTTGCTGCAAGTTCCCATTCAGTTCTTATTGATGGAATCAAATGTCATTCATCAAAAGGAAATGAAGTCTCTTATTTCCCAGCTGTGAAATAGGGTGTATTAAAAGGTAGAGACTCTGAATTTGAACCAGTCTTTGGAACTTCTCCCCAAAGAGGCATGCCTGGCGCCAACTCCTGAAAATTGGCACTGTTCTTTGCTTGGTTTTTTAAGAGTTCTTCTAAAGCCACCTTCTTCTGTTGAACTGTATTGATTTTCAATGAATGCTCTTTTGTTTCAACTGCTTTGGGAGACCAGATGCCTAAAAAGAGCTGTCCCAAGGCTAAAATGTTTCGGCTGATTTTTCAGCTACGTTCCTACTTGGATGAGCAGAGCCTAGCCACAATTATCCATGCTGCGGTAACCTCTCGCCTGGATTACCATAATGCGCTCTACAGGCTGCTTTTTGTTTAGTACTTATTTTTAGTGAAATTCCTGGTCTTGTGATGTTATTTTTCCTGCTTGCTTTTATCGTTCTGTGCACTTATTCTCCTGTTCTGAATTTTGTATTAATTGGATTTTATGCAGTATTGGATGTAATAGCCTTAACCTTGTTATAGTTTTATGCTTTACGTTGTTGGTTGCTTTTTTTGTGAGCTGCCCAGAAAGCCCTTAGGCTATGAGTTGGCATACAGATAAATATTCAATTTGATCTTGGAATGGCCCCATAGATTAGGAATGTTTTCCTACCCTTTGCAATAGTGAGGTAGGGTCTCCCATGTGAAGGAAGGGGTGAGACCAAATGGGGGCACAACTCTTCGTAAGGAAGGTTGAGACAGAAATCCGATACAGGTATAGGCTTGAGGGATATTGGAACAGGGTCCAGTGGCAGCCAACCTGCTGTTCCCGGAGTTTCCAAACAGAGCAGTGTTTAGCAATGTTAGGAAATTAGAGCTTGCTTCAGTTCTGCACAGATTCATGAGTCTGTCCCTCAAACTGGATATCTCAAGACCTTGGATAAAGAAGCCAGAAGAGTTCAAAATGGCCACCCAATACAAAGAGAAATACACAGGCAAAACTCCCAAGAGAAGACAGAGAGATGAGAAATAATGGCGTAAAATAAAGTGCAGCTAGGTATGCTTTCTAGGAATATTGTGGTTAGAAGAATCAACTGGGCACATGATATTTCCTCTGAGCTCTTGGCGTAATATCAAACTGTTCCTTGGAGAGAAACTGATGTCTGGGAGAGAGACCAAACTGATGCGGAAAGCTCTGTGGTTTACCCAACACCCATAAGTCAGATCGATCATAAGGGGACATGCAGAGCCATCTTAATGGCAATCGAATGATGAATAACTTACTTCTGCTGCCGTTCACCTATTACAGGTTGAATGGATATATGGTCAGATAATATGCCAGGTGAGTGTCTCTCTCCACCCTAATGTACTGTATTTGGAGGCAAACATGAGAAAAACTGGACAAGGTATTAGAGAAATGGGAAGCCATTTCCTAACTTACTGGCTGAAGATTTTAAGAGTAGATAAGGAAGGTGCGGTCAAGACATGCAGTATGTGAAAGTTGAGGGATTATAGTGGGAGCACTGAAATAAGCAATTGAATTGGCCCAAACATCCTGTGACATAAATGCCAGATGAAAATCTGTAACCGCAGAGGAACTGAGGGCCCATTGAGGCATTGAAATGCCATGTATGTACAAAGAGCTGTGTGCAAACTACTTGTAATAATTGTGTGGGTTAGGGTCCCCTGCTTCTCTCTCCAGGTTTTCACAATTTCAGGAGTGCAAAACTCCTAACTGAAACCATCTTTCTACATTCCCAGGTGTAAATACTTCAGAAATATACAACGTCCACCTTCTATATATTGTTGGAGTACAGCCCCAGTAATCCCTCACCATTGACCATGCTGGCTGAGGCTCTAGTCAAAAATATATGGAGGACACCAAGGTAAAACAACACAACCAAACAAAAACAGGAAACAAAAAGTTGGAAGGCATCTGGTGTGAACTTATACTAAAATGAACATTGCAGCATCTGGGAAGCAACCAAAGTTCGTAAGAGTAAGATTAATGAGGTTAATATTGTGCAAGTTAAGAATTTTAAATATTTAGGAATCCAATTTAGTAAGGAAAGTTCCTGCATTGGCCACCTGACAGCAACGTGACAAGAGACCCTTTAATCAGCTCAAGCAATAATATATTTTGTCTGACTTAAGGGATGGCGAAGGGTAAGCTAGTTGCTCCAGCACTGGAGTTATTTGCTAGAGAATTTTGTTCATGTAACATAATCCAAATTATTTTCTAATAATGCTCTGAATTCTACCCTGCAGGATTCCTACAACACTGTTAAAAATGAGGCTGCCTTTTTGTGTAAGCCACAATATGCACAGTATTCCTACAGTGACTAAGAGACAGCACATGAAAAATACAAAACGGACACAGAGGCATTTCCTGGGATGGAAAGCAAATATCTCAGCCATTCTTGGACAGATGATTGTGAATCAGTAACATTTGTGGCTCTGTTCCAGAAGAAATGAGAATTATAAAATAGACTCCTGCCAGAAAACCAGGAATTCATTAGGAAGAGACTGGCATCTAATATTCTTTGTTAAGTCATTTGTCACAACAGCTGCATTTTAGAAATATGTCTCTCTCTTCAGGTTGTTGGTAAAATTTAACTTTCTGCTGTCATTTTTGAGTATGCCTGTCGAGAAGGAAGTTATGCAAAGATTCCCTTGGGGAGGTGCTGGTGCATTTGCTTGTTTTCACTCGGCAGCCCAAGCCTAGCCAGTTTCCTACTTCTAGTATATCTAAAGAAGTCGTTACGGTTGGCCTTGATGCTGTAAGCCATACGCTCCTCAAAATGACGTGCACCTCAAATTGTTCCCGTGCATCTCCTTTCTGCACGTGTGTTCCTTGTTGTTCTCCTCCTTTGGGCATGAATTCCATTTCCTGAAGGAAGCTTTTTTCTCCCTAATAGCTTCCTTGATGCTGATTAAGAACCATGTTGCCAGCCTTTCGGACTTGGCATACCTTTCCTAACGTGGGGCAAATGCTCTTGCAGAGCTTCTATCACTATACTTGCAAATAACCTTTAGTATTTTGAATGGTTTTCACTGGGCGTGTTCAGCCTTGAGAAGAGAAGGCCCTTGAGGGGGGGACAAGGTATCTCCCTATAAGCACCTCAAAGGTTGTCACAAAGAGGAAGGTCAAGATTTCTTCTCGCTGATACTAGAGTGTAGGATACAGAATAATCAATTCAAGTTGTGACAACCCAGATTCAGGTTGGACATCAGGAAATGTTTCCTCACTGTCAGAACAATATGACACTGGAACCAGCTGCCTGGAGGGGTGGGGGGCTCTCCCACACTGGGGACATTCAGATAGAACCTGGACAGCCACCTGAGTGGGATGGTGTGACTTGGTGTCCTGCACAGCAGGGGGGTGGACTTGGTGGCCTTCATGGCCCCTTCCAACTCTACTATTCTATGATTCTATGAACTGTTTTGACTCCCCCTTTCAACTTTCTTTCCCCCAGTTCCCTCATTTTAGAGAAGCTTCACTTTTGAAAGTCAGATGTATGAGAAACTCACTGAAGTCAAAGGGGACTTTCCCAGCAATGGGTGACTTTTGAATGCTGCACATGGGAAAGGAAATGTTCCACCTGGTTCTCTTTCTGGGCTCAAGGAGGGGTGGGGGACTTAACCCTTTCCCCACCAGCCCACAAACTCACCCGCTTGCAATTCCACACATCGCCTGCCCGCCCTTTCTTACTGGCTTGGTGACTACCAGGTGAATGCTTACATATACAACTGGGCTATGGGAATTCTGACAAACGTCTCAGAATTCTAAACAACCCCCTGGCCCTGACATTTGAAGCTCGTTAACCCCATTAATATCTCTCCTCCCTAAACAAATCATAGGTTGGAGATTTCTCCAACTTTCCCTTTTATTTTGCTCTTTGTGTACGCTCGTACGCTGTACACCCATCAAGCCGAGCATTAAAGCATGCACAACTGAGCCAGACTAACGAATGAGTTACCGGGAAAGTAAACAGCATGCTTTGCTACTGTGCTTAAAATTACCCAATCATAGCATCAACTCCCTCCTTCCCTGTTAAAAGAAGTGCAAGTACAAACCTTACTGATTGCCTTGACAGTTAAGAAAATTACCATGAAACGCAGAATCTCATTATCCTGCAATTTGTTCCCGCTGCTTCTTTGCCACCACCGAAAATCTAAGTAATTGTGTGACACAGAAATTGCTACCATCATAAAGAAGACCACTAAAATCTCCTTTCTTGTGCATATGAATTCACTGGCAATTGCCATGCTGGCGGGCTTTCCCCGCTTTTCAATAAATGTCTGTGTTCGGTGTCCACATATGTGTGGGGCAGGGGGCAGGAGGAGTAGGTATAGACTGCCTGCATCCAGGAGATGTTGGTGGAATTAGGTAACTGCCCCAGGAGACCAACGTCATGCCATGACTTCTGTAAATTTCCAGGGAAACAAATGCGGAGGTAGAGATGAAAGTTCTGCTCGCAGCGAAAAGCTGCAAATTTACGTGCGTGTCAGGAGACAATGCTGAAGGGACCATGTGTCATTTCTGTCACTCCAGCAGACTTCTGCAGATGTAAATATTTCATTGCAATGTCTAAGACAGAAGCTTGCTGCAGACTTGAGCGCCAGGAGAAAAAATGAATGACTTTTAGGGTCAGAGTCCTCGTGAGCTAGCCCAGGTGCTACTAATCAGCCCTTCTACATAATTAATCTGACATTTCTCCAGAGCAGACGGATTTCCAGAGGGGAATGGCATTACATGGCTCCCATCTGCTCCAGTAGGCAACACTGGGAGCAAAACACACCACAGGATTTTTTAAGCTGTTGCTCCCCAAAGTGGGCCAAGGGAAATCATAGAATAGCAGGAGTAGAAGGGGCCAGGGGCCATCAGGTCCAACCCCCTGCAGGACTCCCAGTTAAACCAAACCATCCCAGTGAAGCCATCCCTCCAGTTGTATCTGGAATGCCTCTAGTGTTGAAAAGTCCATGACCTCCCTAGGTAACTGGTTCCATTGTCATACAGTCCAGATGTTTTTCCTGGTATCTAGTCTGATTCTGGCTTCCTGTAACTAGAACCTGTTATTCCTTGTCCTGCACTCCGGGGTGACTAAGAAGAGGTCCTGGCCTTTCTTTTGTGATAGCCTTTCAAATATTTGGAAAACACTATCCTATCTCCCCTCAGTCTCTTCTTCTTGAGGCCCAGTTCTTTCCATTTCTCGTCCTAGGGCTTTGTCTCCAGAACGTGCCAGCTCCACCTGTTCTTACATCACAAGAGGAAGGAGCAGGGTCTTCTAGGTGCCTGAGTTCCAGAGCAGTCTAAAGCAGTCCAGTGCTTCTCTCTTCCAGGACATACTAACAGGGAGCCTTTACCAAGGAGGGGAGATTGCTGGAGCACAACTCGTCTTGCACCTCAAAGTCACCACATCCTGAGTTTAAGCTGCACTGCACATCTCTCTCTCTCTCTCTCTCTCTTGCACACCCTCTTCACAGCATCCCACAGGACTCCCCTGCCTATTGCACTCCAGATATGTTGGACTGCAATTCCCATCATTCCCAGCCAGCATGCTCATTGTCCATGTAGGGAGTTGCTATCCAGGACATTTGCAGAGGTCCATGTTTGGGGAGGCTGATGTAAAGATACAACAGCAGAACTAGGGAGACGTCAAACTGGATGGAAGGTGATTTTGAAGGTATTTGCCCAGGTTTCCTGTTTGCAACTTGGTACAGAACCCCCAGTGAGCTCCCAGTTCACCAGCTACATCACTGGGGATGAATCAATACTGGGAAATAATGGAATCAGCTATTTGCTGTGGAAGCGGATGGCACTCAGGATGCCTCGGTGAGCCTTGCGGTACTTGGCATCTGCTCACAACTGTCCTTCCACCAAAGCAGGAATCCCCAAAGCCACAGGGGACGATGGCATGAGCCAATGTCCGGTCAAGTGCCGCAGCTGGGGAAATGGTGCAAACACATGGCGTGGGCATGCAGGGTGCTGGACATCCCGGTTGAACTGTGCCCTAAATAAACAGCCCAGTTACCTGATAGGAATGTGTGCCAAGATGCTCACACACAGATCGAATGAAAGCATCCAAGAAGAGGGCACTGTAACAGGGCTCTGCATTTGCAGCCAATGCTGAAGACAACCCCTCATCCTTGCCCTCATTTATCTCATTGAAACTCTGCTCCGTCAAGAGATGATTTGAATGGGGACAACTCTGATCATGACACAAAGATAATGTGGCCACATATTCAAGACACACATTGTCCACCAGGCATGTATGTGTGAAGCGATGTGCTGCCATTTGACCAGGAACGTCCCTGGGCCATTAAGGCAGGGTGTGCCTTGTTCCCTGCAAGAAAGGAGTTGGCATTTTCCATTGCACACCTTAGCTCTAGAGGACTGGCCACATGGGTCTCCTTCCGAGCTAGAGGCTTCCTTAAGAACAGAAGAAGAGCCCTGCTGGATCAGAGGAAAGGTCCATCCAGTCCAACGCTCCACAAACGTGGTGGCAACCAGCTGCCCACGGGATCCCCCCAGCAGGACGGGTGCAAGCAAGGCCTCCTCCTGGCCAGCTCTTCAGCAGCAGGTGCGTGCAGGCAGGCCGCCTCTGCTGAAGGATGCAGCACGTGGCCTGCAAGGCTAGTAGCCTTGATCGCCTCCTCCCTCATGCCTGGAACGATTGCCCCATATTCCAGCCATTTCCAGGAAATCAGGGGTGAGATCAGATCAAGAAAACAAGCCATCTTTCAGAACATTATTGTTGTAAGCCGCCCCGAGGCTTCGGCGAATGGGGCGGCATAAAAATGTTTTAATACATAAAAATAAATAAACATTTGCTCAGGCCAGAGGCTTTCCCCCTGCCTCTTGATTAGCAACAGCCAGCTATGAAGAAAGGAATGGGAAGATCAATCATTACACTGGTTAGCTCCAATTACAAAACATTTTGTTACATGCCTCTGCAGGCATGAAGACCGACAGCGGCAAACCAAATACAAACCCACACTGAACAATATGCTGCTCTGTAATTCCTCCGTGGCTTTCATATCCCCCTTCCTCCATTCTGATGATTCATTAAGCGCTCGCGGTTTCCATCTCTAATCAGCACCCTGACAGCCAAAGTGTCTTGGTTTCATACCATGGACAACCGACTGTCTGTGCTTTCCGTCTACCACAAGAGGGCGATACGCTACAGCTTCCACAAGTCCGGGAATTGCCTAAAGAGCACGGACTTCTATTTTCATTGACTAGTTCTGAGTCATGTTTGGCTTTTAAAGGAACATAACCGCAAGGGCTGCACTGGATCAAACCAAAGGCTCAGTCTCGTCCTGCATACTGTTTTCCACAGTGGTCAACCAGTGCTGTTTGCCAGAAGGACTGAAGGACACCCGCCCTTTCTTGTTGCTTCTGTTCCTGGAGGTTGCGCATGGCCAACTTGCATGACATTGCCAGAGATGTGGCCATTCATAAGAGTAACACAGACAAAATGTGCCCTGGGCATGGAAAGTGCACATACAAAACTCCACTGGAAGGTGGAAGCTTCAAACCAGCATGGAGTTTAAGACCATCAACAACAGATTCGTACTAAGTTGTGTGGGATGGAAGAGCTGAATGTATCCAAAGGCATTTAATCTTGTCCCAGGCTTTTGATCCCTATTCCTATTGGTGATGTACTTCCCTATTTGAACAAATCAATGCCCACTTTCCGACACATCATCTCAGAGATGTTGAACCCAGATCCAAGGCATGGATTCTGCAGTGGTAGGCCATTATTTACTTATTTTTCCTCCAAAGCCAGATAGAAACATAGAAACAGAGCGAGTCAGAAGGGGTCTCCTGGAACATCTAGTCTGACCTCCGGTTCCAGCCAGCTCCACTCACGACATGCCTACCATGTGCATGTCCAGCCTCTCCTTAAACACCCTCATCGAAGGGGCCTCAAGATGGCAACTCTTCAGCCCTGAGGAAGTAAAATTGGTGGACCATGTGGCTTCCAGGACCAGAAGTGCTCCTCAACCTATTATTTTCACTGTTTGACATTAACTTCCTTGTCTATATGCAGCTACAGAATTAACACCAGCCTAGTGAAAATGTTCCATACCTGAGAGAATGGCTCCCACAGTATCTGTAGTCCTCTTTCAAATGCCTTCTATGGGGGGGGGGCATCTTTTGGGAATAGCAAGAAAGGATCTTCTCAGTGGTGGCCTCCAATTATACAACACTGTACCAAGTAAGGTTCACTCGGCACCAACATCGTCAAATTTCTGCTGCCAGGTTAAAATGCTCCTCTACATTTAACGGCTTATTATAAAGCTGTTAAATAGTTAATGGATTGGATTCTAGGGTTTTTATTAGTGGTTGTAAAAACTGTTTCATATTTTGCATGCAAATAGAGTTACATTACCATTTTATGTTTTGTTTTAAGGGTTTTAAACTTATCAAACTGCACAGAAAGTTTTGCCTTTGGAAACCAAATAAATTAATAAGTAGAAAATGCATCCATGCACTAGTGATCCTCTGTCACCTCACACACACACACACACACACCAGAGCGTAACAGATTTAAGTGGTCTTACAATTTTCAGGTGAGACAAAAGCCTCATGACGTCTGCCATGTCGGCCAGGATGAGCAAGCGAGTGACGGCGGAAAGCAGTGCCCGGGCTGCCCGTACCATCGTGCCACGCTTCACGGAGGAACACGGGTCGTCTGCAAATTCAGATGACGCAATTCGCATGGTTTCACCTGGAGGAGGATTAGAGATAAGCAAATGCCAACAGCTGGTTAGGAAAGCCTTTGAAGTCAGATACAGAAGAACTTGGCTGATTGATACCATATCGGTAATGCATTCTATTTCATTGCATCGTTCTGTTAGGGAGAGCTGCAAGATCACTGTTGCTCGAGAGTGAAAATCATACACATGTTTGGGGTTGCTCGTCACTATCAAACAACCACAAACTTGAAGAACAAAGTTGCTTAGAATTTATATGACCTGATTATTTGAGCTGTCAATTTAAGTGAAATTAAGAGCAGGCTTCATCATATTGTCTCAATGTACACAAAGAAGCTGTGTTTTTCCCCTACAAGTCCATATTCTTGTAGTTTCCATACATTTTAAAGCTGCATTTAATAAAATTTGGCACAAAAGGAAATATAAAAAGCCCTTAGAATAGACAGGAGTCCTTGGAACTCAGAACTGCAACCAAGAAAGGCATCCTTCTCTTGGTTCTCCATTTTAAAGACAAATTTTGGCTATTTTTCCAATCCAGGGTGCAATTTGAGTCAATCCATAGGGGTACCATGTTGTTACTTCCATCATTCCATCCTGGAGCTGGACTTTAAAAGAAGGGAAGTGAATCCTTTGGATTTCCAACAAAAACCAGGATTCTTATCACAACTTTATAAAATCATTGTTCTTTTATAGCAACTCAACATTTCTTTTGGGGGATAGGAAAGTAAAGATGTTGATTAAATATTGAGCATTATAAAATATTAATGAATGTTAATTTGCAATTAAGCAGGGGGAAAGAGTTTGAATTAAATAGAATTCGAATAATTATACATCTACTCACGTACACTGTCTTTGATGCTAAAGAAAAGTTGAGGGAATTCCAATAACCGGAGCGGATAGTCCAGGTCTGTCCTAACATTTGGCACTAATTGTGTCTAAACGTCAAGAGGTTTGAAAGGCAAGTTTTATCCAAGAAGCAATACAGAATTTCTAAACTTCTAACATGCTTCTTGAAACATAGGGTCATTTCCCTCATTTCAGCTCCCATAATGCTTTGCCACCATTCCATGCCAAATGGAATGGCTGCCATAACAGTTACATGCACTCTTACAGCCTTCTTTGTACTAAGATGCTCATGTTCACAGAGAATAGTAGAGTTGGAAAGGGCCAGAAGGTCATCAAGTCCAGCCCTCTGCTCTTGAAGGACACTAAGTTACACCAACCCACTTGGATAACTGTCCAGACACTTTTCGGATGTCCCCAGGGTGGGAGAAACCACCACTTCCCCAGGTAACAGGTTCAATTGTATGCTGCTCTGATTGGAAGTTCTTCATGATGTCCAGTGGGAATCTGGCTTCCTGTAGCTTGAGCATGTTATTCTGTACCCTGTGTACTCTGGGATGATCAAGAAGAGATCTTGCCCTTCCTCTTTGTGACAGCCTTTGAGCTACTTATCTGGCCAGGGCGACTTCTCTTCTTTTCTTTTATAACTTTTCTTTTATAACTTCTTTTATATTGTTTATATTTTTATTTATTTTATATTATTAATTTTAATTTTATATTGTTATTTTTGTATTGTTTTGTATTGTATTGTATTGTGTTGTAAGCTGCCCCGAGGCTTCGGCAAGGGGCGGCATAGAAATGTTCTAATAATAATAATAATAATAATAATAATAATAATAATACTTGTAGGGTGCCATCATATCTTCTCTTCTTGAGGTTGAACAAACCCAGTTCTCTCAGTCTTTCCTCACAGGGCTTTGTCTCCAGTCCCTGGACCATCCGTGTTGCCCTCCTCTGTACTCTTTCTAGCTTGCCTGCATCGTTTTAAAACCTAGATGCCCAAAACTAGACACAGTATTCCAGGTGAGGTCTGATGAGTGCTGAGTATAGTGGAACTAGTGCATGTATTTTGGAAGTGGTGCTTCTGTTGAAGCAGCCCAAAATAGCATTTGTCCTTTTTTGCAGCCGCATCACATTGCTGGCTCATAGTTAGCTTGTGATCTGCAACAATCCCAAGATCCTTCCCATTTGCAGTATGGATGAGCCAAGTGTTCCCAAGCTTGTAGCAGTGTATTTGCTTTCCTGTTCTTTAGTGATGGCTTGTCATTTGTCCCTACTGAATTTCATTCTGATGTTCTCTGCCCGGTGTTCTAACCTACTAAGATCACCCTGTGTCTTATCTCTGTCTTACAGGATATTTGCCATTCCACCCAGCTTTGTGTCATCTGCAAATTTAATTATCCTTCCTTGTACTTCCTCATCTAAATCATTAATAAAAATGTTGAAGAGTACAAGTCCCAGGGCAGAACTCTGTGGCATCTCATCTGTCACCCATCCCCAATTTGAGAACGTGCCATTGATGGGCATTCTGAGTCCAGTTTTGCAGCTGATTCTGGATCCAGCTCATGGTTGCTCTGTCTGGCCTGCTGTTTGCTAGTTTGGTCATCAGAATGCTGTGGGGCATTTTGTCGAAGGCTTTGCTAACGACTAGACATTAACACCACCTCAGGGAGTACCAGAGAAGCCACTGTACAAACCTACCTTCTTTCATGTCTATTGCAATGTCACAGCAGTAGTGACCAAACTTGGTGATGCTACAGAAAAGCAACTGAGCTACTTTCAAAAAAGGTCCAAAGATCGTTTGCAGTGTTGTAAACCTCGGGTTTTCCCCTGTAGATACCTTCCTTCATTCAGGGACCTTTTGGGGTATATAAGCATCTGCATGCACAACCAAACATCAGAAATAGAGGGAATGTTACAGGAAGATGCTCACAGGGGCACCTGACCAGCACGGGGTGACAAAAAATGAGACCCTAAAAGTGACGCCATTTCTGATGTCATGTGACTCTAACTTATGGCAACCATATGGCTGAGGGCCCTCCTCCAAGTTCAAGGCTGTGGCTTCCTTATGAAATTGAGCAAACATATAGTTGGTCCTCATCTCCTTTCACCCTCCCTAGCATGTCTTCAGTTAATCTCACATTCTGATGATGGGCCTGAAGTACAACAGCTTCCGTTTGTCATTTTTGCTTCCAGGGAAAGTTCTGGCTCAAATTGTACTGTGTTCAGTTCTGGAGTATTGTGCTCCATTCTGGGCTCCACTTTACAGGAAGGATGTAGCCAGGTTAGAGTCAGTGCAGCATAGGGCCACAAGGGTGGTGGCTGGATTGCAGGGGATGCCATATGGGGCGAGACTGAGGGAACTGGGTCTCTTCAGCCTGGAGAAGAGGAGACGCAGAGGGGGTCTGTTGGTGACATGCAGGTATGTGAGGGGGTGTCACGCGGAGGAGGGTAGAGACCTCCCCTGCAAAGGAGGGCAGGATGCGTTCCAATGGAGCAAAACTCAGGGAACCAAGGATCAATTTAGATCCCAGGAGGTACTTCCTGACAGTTAGGACCCCAGGGCATGGAATGGGCTTCCATGGGAGGTGGTTGAGGCCCATCGGTGCGGGTGTTCAAGGATAGGCTGGACATGCAGATGGTGGGCATGTCATGAGAGGAGCCGGCTGGAGCTGAGGATCAGACTGGATGGCCTAGGAGACCCCTTCTGACTCGCGCTGTTTCTGTGTTTCTGAAATTTGCCCTGGGAGTCAGCTTTGAAGTCAAAAGTCTTCTCTTCTCAAGGCTGACCATGCCCAGTTCTCTCAGTCTCTCTGGTCCAAAGCCATTCAGGGCTTTAAATATTAACATCAGCACCCTGAACTGGGCCCAGAATTCAACAGGCAGCCAGTGCAACTGGAAGAGGAGTGAAATGACACGCTCTTGTGGGCCAGTCCTTGTCATCACCTGCCTCACGCTGTTCTGAACCCGCTGGAGTTTCTGGGCTGTTTTCAGAAGCAGCCTCCTGGGGGCGTGCGTTGAAGCAATCTAGGCAAGATGCTACCAGAGCATGGATCACATGGACTCCACTTTGAGCATCCCTCCTTGGATGACCCTGCTGGGAGGCTGGGCTAGTGCAAGAGTCTGGTCTCCCTGCAGCATTGCTCTAAACTTCACTGACACTCGCAAACCTGCTCACAAGCTCACGAAGCGCATCCATGCGTGGGAAGTTATGCTGCCAAACAACTACAAGTAGTCACTGGACTGAGGAGAGCATTGCCGTTGGTGATACAGCATTTATTCCTCCAAGACAAATCCTTGATTGCTTGCATCATAAAACACAAGCAAATATAGGGAGTGCCCAAAGTCTCCATAAATATTAGAGAAATTGCTAGATGCAAGTACATCCGGTTCCTAAGCATGACTTACTAATGTATTCTGGGAGCATATAAACTAAAAGCAAATTATGAAGTGCAGAACTTCATTCCTATTGAAGATCTGACATCCTAACTAAAATATATAATATTGATTTTTGCACTTTTGGAAGCGTTGAGATTGGCACCAATCACTCCTGAATGAATCAAAATTTAATTTAGCTGAACTAATGCATAGCTAAACTAATTTAAGTCACTGGGGGCTGCAAAGGAATGCTGGCGGATGCGCAATTTGCATCTTGCATTCTCGGGGCCAGTGTTGCACCAGACAGCTGAGGTCAGGCCTGATCCAGTGAGAGCATCCATAGCCCTACGAAAGGGTGTTGGAGATCTCCCCACCAGCCACAAATCACACAGGGTGACCTTAGATCAGTCCTTCTCCCAGGTTTCCCATCTCAGAAGCTTGTTCGGAGGATAATATGGAGTAACAACCTCCGTCTCTCCATGAGTTCATTGGATAAAGGACTAGATACAAATGTAAAATAAGCTCAGCAGAACGGAACCAGAAGGTCGAAGTTGGTCTGGTCCAGCAATATCTGTTTCTTCCAGCCCTCACTTCGGTCCAAGCAGGCCTCCAGGATGAGTGAAATCTTCTGCTTTCATGTTGCGCAGAAAGTGCATGGACTTACTAGTTGGTTGTCTACTGGGAAGGTCACTTCCTTCTGATCTGAGTGCCTAGCTGAGCAGCACATTTTAATTCAGCACATCAACATATTAAGGGTCCCATCCTACCAATACTGCCCATAAATCCCTGAATT